GAGAGAGAATTGCAAGTAAGCTTTATGAGAAATATATTCAAAAAGAATTTAATTTTCAGAAAAAAAAATGCTCAGAAACTGATTCGTAAGTTGTGCCAGAAAGCCGCTTAGTCCATTTCGAGATGTTCAATGTGTTACATCCCTGCTTACTTCCCGGAATGGAAATAGTACCTGGAAATGATAATATGCTAGCTGCAGTGGCCTTCGCAGGGCTGATAGCGGGTCACTTTTTAGTGACTTTGTCACTTTTTTGAAGGTGGTCACTAAAAAGTCCCTATTTTCGACAAAAAGTCACTAAAGTCACTATTTTCGCCATTCCCGCTTGCATTGCAATGTAAAATTTGTTAAAAAATAAATAAAAATTGTAACAGTGCTACAATATGCTTAGTTCTTAGTTGGAAGTTCATTAAACTAACTTACGAAAAAGTACGCAGACGAAATAAAGACGATGCATCATCAAAGCACACTTTTATTTGAGATTTCGCACCTTGTAGGAGTCCAGATTCAACTGCAAAATTAAATAATAAGTGTGACCGGAAAATCGGGATACCTGGAAAATGCCGGAAATTCGATGTCACCGGGATAAACTCGTGAACTTCGATGCCAAATAGAAAAAAGGTGCTTCTTCCTCTCTTTAAAAAATCTCAAGACCCTTGGATACAGTTACTTTAAAGAACTATTAAAAGAACTTTTTTCTAAAGCAGTTTTGAACAGATTTTAGAATAGATTCTAGAGATATGTAGTACCATGGTACTTCGGACAGTAATTTTTCAGGTGAAAATTTCATAGTTGTGAGTTGAATACCAAGGAAAGGAGCAAAATTCAACGGTAATTCCAACATATATTCAATTAGAATTTTAAGAATACTTCCAACGGATTTCTTAGAAAATCCTTAGAAAATTCAAGTGGATTTCGAAGAGTATTCTAATGATATTCCGGTGTTATTTTTTTCAGATAATTCAAAGGAGAATCCCAGCAGCATTGTCATTGCCCACATCTTACTGGACCTTATTAATGAATCATTACAAACTGGACATGTGCCACAAATTTGGAAGGAATCCTTAGTGGTCCCTATTAAAAAAGTTGCTGGAACGATTAAAGCCGAAGAGTTTCGTCCCATCAACATGTTGCACCCATTAGAGAAAATTTTAGAACTTGTTAAAGGCCAGCTGTTGGAGTATTTAAATAGTAATAGTTTGTTGATACCAGAACAATCGGGATATCGGGAAGGTCATTCTTTTGAAACCGCGTTGAATTTGGTATTAGCGAAGTGGAAAAATAACTTGGAGTGTAAATTGTTGCTGTTTTTTTGGATCTAAAACGCGCTTTTGAAACAATTTCTAGGCCCTTATTGTTGAGATCAATAAAGCGCTTTGGAATTACGAGTACTGCATATAAATGGTTTGAAACCTATTTGTCTGACAAAACTCAGCGGACTGTTTTTAATTATTCTGCTTCCAGTCATGTGGGGAATAACCTTGGAGTGCCCCAGGGAAGTGTATTAGGGTCCCTGTTATTTATTATATATATTAATTTCTTTTTTTTACGATTTTGCGATATTAATCTTTTCGCAGATGATACTGTGTTATTCAATACAGCTAAGAATTTATATGATGCCATTTTGACACTTGAATGAAGATTTGCGTTCTCTAAGTAGATGGTTGAAGTATAAGCAGTTGAAATTGAATACAAGTAAAACTAAATTTATGGAAATTTCGCGGAATCGAGTAAATAAGAACGTCTCTGTTGTAATTGATGATGAGACTTTTCATCGCGTTCGGGAGATTAAATATCTTGGCGTGATTATTGATGACACACTTAAGTTCAACTCTCACATTGACAATCTCATCATTGCCAAGAAGCATGGAATTCTATGTCCACTGAAAAACGATTTAACTATTGCCAGTCAAATACAGATATACAAATCAATCATCTCTCCTCATCTAGACTTTTGCCCTTCCATTTTATTTCTGGCCAATGCAACACAAATATCGAGATTACAGCGCTTGCAGAATAAAATCATGCGTTTGGTTTTGAGATGTAATCGATTTTGTTTGCTAACTGGTTGAAATGTCATATTATTACCCTAAACATAAATCGTCGAGCTCAAACCTTTGTAGGGGTAAGAGATGGGACCATCATCATCATCATTATCAGCATTTCGAAGAGTTTTTGGGGTTTCGTAGCAGAATTAAAAAAAAATATTCCTTAGATAATTCCATGGGAATTTCAGCATAATATTAAGTAAATGCTGAGGAGAAATCCAAGTGAATTTTCAGGAGAATTCTTCAGGCAATTCCTAGCAAGAATTTTTAATAATGTAATGAGCATTGCAGAGCGAATTAAAATAGTTCTCTAAAGATGTTGTAAAATTTTTTTAAATCATATTTTTTTCCTTTACACTAGTCAATAATACCTATCAGAATTTCTAGCTCAATTTAAAATGTTTCCATTATACATTTGGATCAGGGGGGACGACACTTCAGGATTATCCCATTTTTACCCAAATCACTCCTAAAATGTTCAACGTGCACAAAATTTCAATCCATCCTATCTATTCTTTCTATTCCCAACTTATCCCTTCTGCATGCACACAAATCATCAAGCAAGCCGTGCAGTTTTCAGGTCGATCGCGAAGCACTGTCAGTTTTCAACGATCTTCATAATAAACATGGTGTTAAAACAATTTGATATGTGTTGAGTCGTTCAAGGTGGCGATTGTCCTGGCCAAGGATGAAGTGATTTCTCGATTGGATTCCCGAGGGAGCTTAAATTAAAATAGATGACGGACCACTCGTCTATAATTGGTCGCGGGGCAAATACATCAAGAACGTCATAGAGGAGACAAATGACAAATGAGAACATCTGAAATAAGAAACAGTAAAAATCGTTAAACTGTTTATTTTTTAATCTGAATTTGAAATAATTAATGAAACACACTCGATTCAGTTTTTCTGTGATTCAGTCCAATGGAAATGAAAAGAATCATAAAATTGAAACTGAACCCCAAATTTTCAAACGTTGAATGTGAAAATTCACAGATTTTGAGTGGTGCCAGTATTGCACGAATCCGACAATATATCTCGCTCTCTCATTTGTGGAGAGTCATGAATGACAAATCGGGGAAAAAATTACTTCATCTATTTTTTAGAAAAAAAAGATTTTGGGACTTAGTAAAGTTTTAAGATTCTTGGACCAGACTAAACTTTTTTGGAATTTTGAGTAGATTTTAGGGATAACAAGTCATTTCAGATGGTATTAAAGGTAGTTTTAGAAAGCGCTCTAAGAGATTTTAGACTTTCACTCCAAGTCACTTTTGTGAGTTCAAATTCAGGGTAGAATTTTTAAGTTAATCTGTGGAGAATTGCAAATCGGTTGCGAAGATCACAGTATCGTGACCGTACCGAGGTTTCCAGCCTCGGTAACGGCTACATGAATCCGCGATGCTGCTATTCCTGCAAAAGCTGCCACTTCTACTAGCTTTCACAAATTTCGTTTGCGTGTTTAGAATTAAGTGTTTTTTTCGTCGTGAAATCGATACATTCTATAAGTAGAGGGCTTTTGTAGTCCAGCTGTCACCATCCAAACATTATTTTTCACTGAGCATTGACTAAAATGGCTACTTCGATGTTTTTCTTTCGTACTGTTTCATTTCAGTTGCACGCATCCCCATGACAATTTAAAGCACCCTCGCATCCAATGCAATCCCACTAGGAATCCTGTATTTTTTTTTATCCTTACTCAATTTTCGTCAAGACGACAAACTCAAAAACTCTCTTCAATTACATTATTTTTACAGGCAAGCATGGTAAAAAAGAATTCATCTGAATGAGTGTCGTTCCCCCTGATTTGGATTGTATTTCCGAAAAATGCGTGAAATTAGGATCATAGGTTAATGAAACTATGGTACTTTATGGTAGAAACATTCGGAAAAACCTGTCCCAAGACGACCTAATGACTTATTCAGCCTTGTTCGGTCCAGTAGATGCTCGGCACAGTAGATGTTCGGCACATGAATAGCAACTCCTGTTGTAGAAGAATTCTGCTTTTTTTTAGTAATTCAAGAATTAGATCTGGATAACTGTGTTATTTAATATTTCAAAACGCTATCTCGACGTTTCATTCCTCACTTCGTAAATAGTTCTAATAATTAGGTAATGTCTTCTTATTAGGTAACCAAGCAAACGCGGAGCACCTTCTTGATGCAAGTTCGCAGATCGCATAAAGATTATCATAGTTCATATCTAAAACGCGTGACGTGTTAGAGAATAGATTTACTCTAGACTTTAATTCATGAGACCATAATCATTTCAAATATGGTAAAATATCTCTGTTATTGGAAGTCGTGTTACACAGTGTTGTTAGTTTTTAATCTAGTTGTGCAAGATCTTGCAATATAAACTTTTGACGAATGCGTACAGATAGAAAATCGATGCCTACATTTTTTTGGGTAACTGACAAATAAATTTGCATGATTCTATTTCTAAAAGTTTTCTGATAATGTTCGTCACATTTTGGTAACTTTTTAAAATGATTTTGGTCACTTTTTAGTCACTTTTTATAATGATTTTAGTCACTAATTCACTATTTTTATTGCTTAACACTGCTATCAGCCCTGCCTTCGGTAGAATCGCTTAATAAGCAGAATTATTATCAATTTGTTGATTAGAGTTTATAAAATTTCATTTTTTTAAATAATTCTGTTGTGACAAAATAAATCGTTTTTATCATGCTGCAAAAAAGTTTCGATCTAATAATTTCCTGTCAAAATATAATATTTACAAAACTGAGTAACCTTTACTCAGTTGTGCTAATTTTGCGAAAACCAAAACTGAGTAAGTGCTACTCAGATTTTGACAAATTCATACAATACTCAAAAGTGAGTAAACATGGGGTTACTCACTTTAGAGTAGTTCCACTTTTAACGAAAGTGAGTGGAATTTTACTCTCTTTAGAGTAAATTTGAACGAGCGTGTTAGTAATTGGTGGTCGGCTCGCGCCTCGCGCGCCAAATAACGTCAAAGTATTTTATTTACCAGCATTGAACGAGATTAAAATTTAATGTTTGCAAAAGTTTCGTTTTAATCGTTTTAAATTTTCATTAATTATTATTGTGCCAGCATATCCATATTCGGTTAAGTAATATAAGAATCAATCAAGTAGTAGATCATGCACGCGTTCCTTAAAACAGGAAAAATTTCCGATTCTCCATCGAAAGCGGGCCATAGCGGTGAAGGACCTGTAGAAAAGCGCACCAAATCACATTCCGTCCCATGGGTTGAAAAATAGTAAGTTAATCTTGTTAATATTCTCCATTCTTGATGTTTAACCTTTTACCCTGTGCATTCCAGTCGCCCAAAATGTGTGGACGATGTCGTGGAACAAGGTGAAGTCGTGGCCGTACTAAGAGAAAGTTTGTCGACATCCGATCTTCCTAACTTGTTACTATATGGTCCACCAGGAACGGGTAAGACCAGTACCATTCTGGCAGCAGCTCGTCAGTTATTTGGAGATATGTTCAAAGAAAGAATTCTCGAACTTAATGCTTCCGACGATCGCGGTATTGCAGTCGTGCGAAACAAAGTCAAAACTTTCGCACAACTTGCAGCCAGTGGCACTAGAACTGATGGTAAACCATGTCCACCGTTTAAGATCGTTATTCTGGACGAAGCAGACGCGATGACCCATGCTGCTCAGGCTGCATTGCGTAGAACTATGGAGAAAGAAACAAAAACAACCCGGTTTTGTTTGGTTTGTAACTACGTTTCAAGAATAATCGAACCTATCACTTCTCGTTGCACGAAGTTTCGCTTCAAACCGTTGGGGGAAGATAAGATCATTGAGCGACTTCGTTTCATTTGTGAGCAGGAAAATGTTGACGTTGGAGAGCAAGTTTATCACGATATCGTGGATATCTCCGGAGGGGACTTGCGACGAGCGATCACAACCCTTCAGTCGTGCCATAGATTGAAAGGCAAAGACGCCAGGATTGAGCACACTGATATCCTGGAGATGTCTGGTGTTGTCCCAAAGAAGTACCTTGAAGATTTTATCTCGGTTTGTGAAACGGCAAATTACGGGAAATTGGAAGACTACGTCAAAAACCTCACCTATGATGCATACAGCGTTGGTCAGCTGTTCGAACAATTAACAGACTTTGTTGTAATGCATGATGGACTGAACGATAAGCAGAAGAGCATTCTTTGCGACAAATTGGGAGTAAGTTTCATGGTGGTCAACGCTTAAGGCACAGACAAACAGACATAACACTCACAAATTGTTAATCGCACAAGCATTTAACGGTCAATTTAAAAGTATCTCAGTTGGTAGTACTGCCACCTGTGGCGCGCATAGTCAATTCCCTTGCGTTTGACGTTTACACACTACCGCCATCTGTTCAGCGTACTACCCACCACAGTGTATTCAACAGATGGCGGTAATGTTTTAGCGATGATGTTTTACAATGAGAAATATTCAATGTGTTATGTCTGTTTGTCTGTGCTTAAGGTATGAAAGCTAATGTTTTTTTTTATTTTTTATTTGCAGGAATGTTGTTTCCGTTTGCAAGGTGGCGGTTCTGAGTATATTCAAATAATGGATCTGGGCTGTGTTACTATACAAGCGTTGCAAGCCAATTGAAGATCAGATATTTGTTCTACATTTACATGCATTACACTTGTAGCGTTAATAAAAGCACTACTTATGTCATAATCCTAAAACTCTATACATTCACATCATATGGTCGGCGTTAAGTCAGAGAGAACCAAGTAGCAAAATAAAAAAAAAATGAGAATGGCATTGGATCAAGAATTTCCTCAGCTTTATTTCACTTTTGTCAGGTTTGGTAAATGTTACAGCAAGCGCAGGATTTTTTCCAATATAATGACTCCGACAAAAGGAATATCGTTGAATTCATATTCAGTATACAGAAAATCATAATTTCCAATAAAAAAAAATCCACGGCATGCTTTTGGCGCTACTGTATATGGACGATCATATGTAAAATACTGTGGAAGTGACAGCATAGTTCTGTCAAAACCACAGCATTTTGATTGATCCATTGAGGAAATGTTGAAATTTTAAATTTGTTCTCCCTTTAACAGTTCATTTCTATGGTTTCAAATATTTGCCAAATAGTTGGGTTTAGGTGTTCATGGGGCTAATCTGTTTATTGTGAAAAAAAATTTACCCGATACCTAATCTGCGTCTCTGCATTTATTCAGAGCATTGCTATCAAGGTAGTTCTGATGAACTCCAGATTCTAGGAAACCTTAGGTGTATTCCAAAGCGATTCCAAATGGAATTAATAGGATTGAAAGGAAATTTTAATGAAAACAGTTTAATTTCTTACACACTTAGAAATTTTCACAGAAATCTGTAAAATTTTACCGAAATCTCAACAGCTGAACGTTCGGTAAACAGTTTCGCAGATTTCCTGTAATTTTTCACAAATATCTTTGAATTTTTCACAGATATCTGTAAATAATTACTGGAAAACTGTAAGATTGTTTACCGAACGTTCAGCTGTTGAGATTTCGGTAAAATTTTACAGAAATCTGTAAAATAATCTTAGTGTGTAGGTTTTCTGAGGAAATTTCCGAGAAAATTCTGAAGAAAATTTTATGAAAATACTAAGGATAATTCAAATAACAGTTTTTATGGAATTTGCAGGAGAATTTCAAGAAATTTCGGAGAGCATAGAAAATGAATTTGTTCCATTTGTGTTTTCATAAAATACTAAGGGTATGTTAATAAAGTTAACAATTGTGAGAAGAATTCCAGGGGTACTTCATAGGAATGCGGCGAAAACCCGTATAAAAGTTGTGATTAGAATTCCAAACTAATATGAGGCAAATTTTAAGGAATTTGTGAGGAGCACCCAAAAAAAATTGAATGTTTATTCAGGCAAAAATAGGCTTATTCCGCTAATAAATTGCTTATTCAGCCTTTAATGAGCACACATTATTTATTTGGAACTACAAGTGAAATCCAAAGAGACTATCAAGGTATTTGTGAAAAGAATTACAAAGGACGACGATGAGTCCAAAAGGATTTCGGAAAAGAAGATAATTTCATTGCTGAGAGGAGAATTCTGAGGAAAATTCCAACAGAATTGAATACGCAGGAAAGTTAGGTTAGGTTAGGTTATCTTTATTAGTGAGACTTTCAGCCAGAGGCTGGTTCATCTCTTGATGAATATTGGGGAATCTAGAAGAGGTCCCCCCTAGTGACAGAGTTTGAAATAACGGTGGGGAGCCAGAAGGGACCCCCTAGTTATAGAGTTAATGAGGTGGGGTATCCAGAAGGGACCCGCTAATTAAGAGGAGTGGACAAGCAGAAGAGACCTCCCTAGTAACAGAGTATTTGTTTATCAGAGTTGGCTGTCGAGGTGCTGTCGTAGTTAGTAGATGTTCCTGGTTTGGTGCATTTGGTCGGCTAATTGTTATGGTGGTGTATTCAGAGTTCCCATCCGAAGGAAGGCGTGATCAGAGATGTTATGCCTCAGAACATCCCGGCGGCGCCGACTGGTATTGAACCCAGACCTGCTGGGGTGAGAGGTAATCACGCTTACCACTACACCACCGGCGCCGTTATGTCAATCATTATCCAAAGTACCTATAAAAAGTGATAATTCTGTTCATGAAATAAATGTTGTTCTCAAACGCAGTCGTTATATCTGAGTACCACTTGATTGCACATCATTCTGCACATCATCTGAAAAGTTATAAAACAACGCTGCTGTCTAGCCTCAACTCATCAACTCAACATTCTCTGCTTGATCGTCAGGCAGTTCAGTTCGGTGTTAGCTCCGAGGGGGGCGACACATCTAAATCTCAAGTTTAGATGCTCAACAAATCTCACACTAGCGAATCAATCTTCGAAAAATCTTCTTTCATTTGTCACATCTACTTGCATCGCGCATCATCTTTTTGCAGGAAATCTTCAGAATCGTCATCAATTTTCTTTCTATCTACTCAGCATGCGCGCAGCTAGCTACAGCATAACACAATTTTTTCTACATCATAGATAGAGTCGTCCCCCTCGGTTAGCTCGCTCTCTCGAGTTGTTTGAAAAGTTCGTGGCGATATTGTTCGCGCTCTCTCTTTCGCGGTTTGTCGTGCGTGTGTGTGTGCCCCGTAATGGGGAAGCATCGGTCGCGAAGCCCGGCGAAGGTCCAGAACTCCGGTGAAGGAAGCTCCGGTGTGTCTACCTCGAACAGGTTTGCTGTTCTCCCCATGGATGGGAATATCCAGCCGGCTGTGTTGGAAAAACGCAGCAAGAAAAGGAAGAAGAACCGAGGCCAGTCTGATGGCACGATTGGTCGAGACGATGCCTCTGCGACGAACGGAGATTTCGGTGATGCTGCCGATAAAGAAAATGCTGCTGACATGAGGGCGGCAAGAGTGAAGCTACCTCCACTGGTGGTGAAAAATGCCCATCTCAACGAACTCATCGCGGATCTGGCGTCGCTGGCCGTCAAAGCCGAATTCAAATTGGGCAAAGTCGGCACCAAGGTGGTGCTCCGTACCAAAGCGGAGTATGACTTGGTCATCGCCCACCTGAGGACTTCCAAGGTGGAATTCTTCACCCACGACATCCCCGGTGAAAAACCGTTCAAGGTCGTCATCAGGGGCCTACCAAATTTCGACCCGAAGTTTATCGAACATGAAATCAGGGACAGGTACAAGCTGGCCCCAAGTGCCGTGTACCGAATGACAAGAAGAGACGGGAATGTGAAGGCGTACCCGGATAGCCTTTTCCTGGTACACTTCCAGAAGGGAACGGTGACGCTCAATGCACTGAAAGCCATCCGGTCCATCAATTCCATCATCGTTCGCTAGGAGCCATACCGTGGCGGCCATCGCGATGTGACTCAGTGCCAGCGGTGTCTGAACTTCGGACACGGTACCCGCAACTGCAACATTAAGCCACGCTGCGGAAATTGCGCTCAAGACCATGCCACCTCCGAATGTGCTGCGGATGAAGCTGTGGCGTCCAAATGCGCCAACTGTGGTGGTGCTCACCAAGGATCTAACAAGCAGTGCCCTAAACGCGAGGATTTCAAGCGCATCCGAAATCAAGCGTCCACCAACAATCAACCAGCACGAAGGAAGGATAAGGCCCCGGCTTTCAGAACGGAGGACTTTCTGCCTCTTCATGGACAAGCGAATCCCAGGGTGCGATCCGCGCCCCCTCAAGAAACGTCTGGATCTTCTGCTGGACAAAGCTCTCCATCCCCCTGGATTCTGGAGGCAACCAACAGCTCAAACAAATAATCCCGATCTGTTCTCAGCAGATGAACTTATGGAGATTTTTATCAACATGACCGGTGCTCTACGTAAGTGCCGCAATAAGCCCGAACAGATCCAAGTGCTCGGTAAGTTCATCATCCAATATGGTATCTAAACCGCTAACCATCGCTACCTGGAACGCTTGCTCTGTAAGAGCTAAACAGATTGAGCTTGCCGACTTCCTCCGCAAGCATAGCATCGACGTGGGTCTTCTAAAACGGAAACCCACCTAAAGTCCGGTGACAGCTTCTGGTTGCCTGACCACAACATTATCCGGCTTGATCGCACCAGCTCCAGGGGGGGTGGTGTAGCGGTCATCGTCAGAAAGGGAATCAAGTTTTGCACTCTGCCCCACATCCGCACTTCTATCATCGAAGCCATTAGTGTGGAGGTGGAAACACCAACTGGAAACGTCCGGTTTATAGCAGTTTACTGCCCACTACAGTCAGTGTACCACAAGCAACGGCCTAGACATCCAATTCAAGAACGACCTGACCGCCATCACTCGTACTAGCTCCCGATTCATCGTTGGGGGCGACCTGAACGCCCGCCATGAAGCTTGGCGGAACTACCAGCGGAACCGGAACGGATGTCTATTGTTCGACCACGCACAACATGGTCTGTACACTGTGCAATTTCCGGACGAACCAACTTTCATCTCTCCGACGGGAAATCCCTCTACGCTGGACTTCTTCCTGTCGAACATCGGACTATCCAAGCCGGAGACGCACAACGATCTCAGCTCCGACCACCAACCGGTGGTGACTGAAGGCGGTGTCAACGTGGTTCCTGCTAGAAGCTGCCTGCGTAAAGACTACCACCATGTCAACTGGGTGCAGTACGGTCGAATGGTGGACAGCAATATCGATGAAAATCCACTGCTCGACACCGTAGATGACATTGACCGGGCGTTGGAAGGACTCCAACAGGCCATATCCGAGGCTGACGAGACATGCGTTCGACGAGTTCCTGTGAGGGGTAAGTTTGTTGCTATTGATTCCCACACCCAATTATTGATTCGATTGAGAAATGTGCGTAGACGCCAGTTTCAGAGGACTGGAGATCTGGGCAAAAAACGTGAAATGGCCGTTCTGAACAGGCAGATTGCTTCCAGAATGGACTCACTCCGAAATGAAAGTTTCGGGCGTGTTGTCCAGAATCTGGACGACCGCTGCAGACCATTCTGGAAGGTAGCCAAGGTCCTGAAAACTCATCCCAAACCCGTTCCACCTCTCAGAGTCGAAAATGATGACGATCGGCTTTTAATCACCCCACAGGAGAAAGCAAATGCGATCGGCAAGCATGTCGCTTCATCGCATTTGCTTGGATCGACTATCCAAAGTCCACTCGAAGATCAGGTTGCGCTATGCTTTCAAAACCTAGATGCCTCCCCTTGTGCCGTGCCTCCGGCGTATATGATTACAGTACAACAGATTTGCTCAGCGCTGAAATACACCAAGAACATGAAAGCTCCCGGGTTTGACGGTATATTCAACTTGATCTTGAAGAGACTCAGCATGAAAGTGCAGTCTCTTCTAACCACTATCTTCAACAGATGCTTGGAACTGCACTACTTTCCAAGTATCTGGAAGA